TTATGTAGTTTCTTTCAGGATAAAAGCTCCTGTACAAGATGCACACAGGACTATAGTTCCTGTATGTCTTCCATGTTGGGATAATTTTCTGCTTTGCCTTTCAGTCTCTTGCAAATATTGCTGGCTCTCCTGCACTCTTTATCCTTTAAATCAGTGGCTTTCAAACTGGGGTATGCAGTACTTTTTCAAAGGGTACATCTAAATTTTAATAGGGGTGGTGGAGCTTCTGATTGGTTAACATGTTGTGAGTAATGGCATTGACAACACTCTTCCTAAGAATGTGCATGCAGAGATTAGCAAGTGTAGGGGGCATGAGCAGCAATATTTTTGCAGATAAAGTAATATGCAGTCAACAAAGTCTGAAAATCTCTGCCTTAGATTATCTTTCCAAGAAACTTTACCTAAGTGCTTTTAATAAATGTGGACGAACTCAGAAGAGAATTATCGTTACTGTATTGCAAACAGGAATTAACTCTTAACTATCTTCTGCAATGGGATCCACTGCAAAAGCAGCCTTGGTGTTCGTTCTGCACTCTGGTCACCCCTCCTCTCCCTGAGTACTGCCCTGTCTTCTCTCACCTGCTATGCCTTGATCATAGGTCATACAAATTGGAGAGGCAGTTCTCAGGCTACTGGAGTGAGACCATAGGTGCCTCATTCCACTCTATCATCAGGCCCCTTCTTTTTGTCCCAGTTGTCAACTAAATCATCCTTGAGCAAGGCATCACTACCACCCATTGTCCTCTATCTGCCTACTGTTAATCCTTTCACCAGAAATGTTTTGAATATAAAACTGATGAAGTGGTTATTGCAACTATCTGCAGAGACCCTAGAACTATGGTAGAGGTGTGTGACATTTCTATGACCAGTGCATCATCTTTGAACCCTAAGGATGACAATTTAAATATCAATATGGTTAACTGTGTCCTTTCTGATTGTTTCAACAGAAACATACATACATCCATATTGTTGGCTGTAGTAGCAGATACTGAAGTGAGTAGCCCAACTAGTGTTGAGGGATATTGGGAAACATATGTCCTTCAAATGTTAAAGTTTTCTCTCAAAAGAAAATGGTGGCGACATGTAGACACACCCTGTATATCTCCCTTTGTTGTAGATGGTGTGGGGGAGATGTAATGCAACTATCTAGAGCGCATTAAACTGCAGCCCTTCAGGCTCTTCTGGAATGTTATACTGTATTTCTGGCTGCGTTTTCTCTCGTATCCATCCCCCGCATCACTCTCTTAATCTCCTCCAGTTCCCTAACCATGCATGGCCATCTAAGGCACCAAAAGAAGGAAGCTCAATGATGGAGTGTTTTGTGATCATGGAACCTATTTTCACTTCCTGTTTTCCTCGTGCATCTCTGAGCAGAGTTCCTCTGGGCATTGTCTGTCAGCTTTTTGGAGGCCTTTTGGGAAGCAGTGGCCACTGTTCAGTGACCCCCAGCTCCAGAGCCCTCCTTTTAGCCCTTTGACCTCATTTCTGCCCCTAGCCTTGTGGGCTCACTCTGAGCCTAAGCCCACCCACACTAGGAATGCCCAAAATGTAGCCAAACCTTGTAACTTTCCTTAGATAAATGTCACCAGTGCATTTTCTGTGCTAATTATCAATATGCTGCAGAATTTAAGGGAGAGGTGAAAAGAAACTAGAAGTGTCATTAAAATAAATTGCAATGGGATTACTCCAATGTTTGTAACCATCTAGAATCATAGAAGGGGCACTGAGGACAACAGGGTACCCTGCTGCCTAATTTGGGTCTCCAGTCTTATGTTTGTTATAGGCCTGTGAGGTTAGTAATCACAGCAGTTGGATTTGCTTGTAGGCAAATAGCACACATCTTATGTTTGTTGGATGATGTGATGTGGGGAGAGAGCTTTTCTGTTTTTGTAACCTAGCTCTGCTCTTATCATTAATGTGATTTAAAAGATTAAAAAAGCAAAGTTCTTCAGCATTCACCAGCTGATTCTTATTTATCTAGAATAAATATCTTAAATATCTAGAATACTTATGTGGTTGCACTTACAGTAGAGACCATGAGGACACAAACAACAATGCAACTAATGTGCTGCCTGTGATTTGGGTTAGGATCCTCCAAGAGGCTTCAATGGCACATGCTACATCTATACAGCCTTTGGAGCATGCTAAAGAAAACTGCAGTAAGGCATAAGACCCCCATGCAGCAGGTGCTAAACCCCAAATGACTTATTGCCATACACCCAGCACCACTCCTGGGCAGCTGCATTACCTCATTTGGGGGGGTGGTGCTAGTGAGCATCCACACTTCACTGCAGTGCTTCCTAGCATAGTCCACAGGTGGGGTACACATGTCTTTAGGAGTTTGAGTCCTTCTGAGGTCTAGCTGTTTTCTGGACTAAGTACAGACATTCGGGGATGTTAGAGGGAGGTTGAATCGATTCAGAATGGCTGCCTGATATCAGGTAAGTCAGGATGAGGGGTGGGGAAGCTGGCTGGGAGGTTAGGGGTCCAGCAGGCTTGAGGGGGATGAGGGGGCAGGCACTACCTGTGGGTGGGGTGGGGTTTCCCTCTCATGAACCCACACCCCCACCCCTGCTACCCCTTCCTCCACCAGGACTTACTTCCTTGGCTCTAGCAGCAGTGAATGCTGATCGAAGTGGCTGTACCCCAAGTGGTTTGTGGGATGGGGATTGAGAAGCCTCGTTTGGCGGGGGGGAGGGGAGCAAAAACATAGACCAGTGCAGGGGGAGGAGGGAGTGAAAAGAGCAGCTCTGGGGCTCAGGCCAGTGAATGGGTTTTCTCAGCCCCTGGGCTACACGGGGGGGAGTGGACAGAAATACCATGCGCCCATTTGACCTAAACTGAATGAGTCTGATAGTACCTAGATCCAGGTTTATCCTAGAATGGGTTTTGCAATTTTTAGATCCACTTGTGTGCGTGGCACTTCTGTATAGTTACAGTCTTAGACTCATTGCCAGTTACAGAAATTGGGTTTGTAACTATAACATCAGCGCTGGAACGAGCCAAGTGTAAATTGGGTGGCCATTTTAAACCCTATTTAAGCTCCCCAAATGTTTGTTTTTAGCCCTAGAGATTAGGAATAGCAAAAGCTTTGCCTACATTAAAAAGGGTTTGCTGGCATAGCTAGTATCAGCCCCTTGAAATAGTAAGCTGTAGAGGCAGATGGGCTTCAGGCTTTTGTCAGAGTAACTATGCCTGGTGGAGGGGGGCGTGAATATTTTTTCACATGCTTAACACACACAGCTGTGTCAGAAACATTTGTAAGTGCAGACTAGGCCTTAGAAGTTAGTTCTTCATAATAAAGCCTTGCTAGATATTCTGGAAAAAAAACAGTGTGGGGGTGGGAGGTGGGCCTCTTAGAAACGGACATAGTTTGAGGTAGATATTTGGGGGCAGCAGGAGCAAAATTAGGCAAAGTCATTTGTAAGGAGGTGGGAAAAATTCATAGCTCTTCAGTTAAGTTTACTAGAAGAAGTTACTATTGTAGCGAAAATAGATACTTTTCTCTATGTTTCTTTGTTCCTTGTTTTAGTATTAACCCCTGCATTCTGTAACTTTCCACCCACATGGTACAGGATGGCCCACTATGTATGCCTTATAGGTTGCTCAGGTTTTGGTTTGAAATGACCAATTAAAATGTAACACCTCAACTGAAAAGAATGCTAGCTCAATAAAAGCCACGTGCGCTCTTTGTTTAGGGTCGACACTGATCTGAGCAACAAGCTCCTCTGTCGGCCTGCTTGCAAGCAATAAAATAGAGTTGGATCCAGCCTGAAAGTGTGACTCTCTTCTAGAGGTGAATTGGATTAGCCTCCAGGGGATAAAATCAGCAATTTATGCAACACTATGATGTGATTACGTATAGGTTGAGTAATTCTCTGTTGGAGGTGGAGACCTATATAATTCTACAAATACTGCTTTTTGTCTTTCTTTAAATAAAACAGTTACTGCCAGGTTTTTAAAACTTTTTTTACAGGATTAACTTAGTATTTGTTTAATTAAATTTATGGGAAGAGTGATGAAGATAGAGACTGTAGCCAATGTTAAAAAGCTTGCTCACTTCTGTTTGGATTCCTCTTCTGCAATGAGCTGTAAAAGAGTAATGAAGAGACCATCACAAACAATTAGTACTGAGTGCAGCAATGTAACTCCTGAAAATATTATTGTGAATAAAAGGCAGTGGAAGCTGACGACAATGTTAATTTTAAACAAACTGATCTCTGAGGATCATTCCAGCCTTACTTTCCTATGTGTAGTACTTGGCAAGAACCAGAGTGAACTGAGAGCTGTACCTAATACCATGGATTTCTCATCTGGATAAAATAATGCTGACATGTAATGTTTTGAACCTATTTCCATTTTCTATTTGAGAGCAAATAGTATCTCTCTATTGTGGATAGCAACCTTTTATAAGCCATAAGCTGGAACAACCTGGTTCTACTCTGGTGTGGGGTGTGTGGCTTTGATGGCATGTCAACAGTGGGGGAATTTGCCTGTGTCTACACCAGGGCCAGACACTGCTGCCACTTCTCCCAGGTCCCTTGCCCCCTCCCTGGGGTGTGAATGCAGCTTCCAGCTGGTGGGGAAGTGAGAGAGAGCTGGAAGCTGCATCTGCACTTTTACCTTGCTTCCCTGGCCGTGGCGCAGGCATAGCTGGAAGCTGCCTAGCCTCAGCATATTTCTCCGCTGGCTGGAAGCTGTCTGTGCTGTTGCTTGAGGGGTGGGTGAAGCAGAGGCAATGCAGGCAGTTTCTAGCTGGCCAGTCCCAGGACAGGCCTGGACCGAGGCAAACCCTTCTGACTTTGTGGGCTGTATCCGGTGACTTCATTAGCTGGCCTTAGCCCATGGCCTGTATGCTGACCCTCTGCTCTGTATGATTATATTCCCAAATACAGCTGGTGTGATTGGTCTTTCTCTGTTTAAAATCCAGCAAACAAAGGATAAAATATATGGAGCTGTACTGTATAAAGGGTTGTAAATAACAGGAAGAAATACTACTGTGTACTCCAAGCAAAATTTATTAGAAGTCTATTCAAGGAAAAAACACAGAGACCCTTTGCTTTTAAGAATTCAAAGTCAATTACCTGAAAGCCAGGCATGAAAAACTTTTGTATTTTTTTTTAAATCGGATACAGAGTAGAAACAGTACTTTTTAAATATCACACGCAACAGCTATTTGTTTTCAATCATAAATGGCATCAAAGTTAGGTATTAATCTCACAGCAAAGCTGCATGCAGATCTAGATTAAAATTGAAAGCCTTTGAAATATAAAGCTTTTGCCATGAAATCTGCAGTAATAAAGGTATGCTGCACAAAGATGTTTCTTTACCTTTGTCTTGATGACATTTCTCAGTAATAAAGATGTATATACATTTTAAATTTGGCTGGTAAACCCATAATTTTAATTAATAAAATTTTGCATAAAATGCTATTTTACAGAATTGCACTATCCAGATGTGCTTATGGTAAGTGGGTCAAGTAGACAAAAATGCATTGGAGATGTTCCATATATTAAGAGGGCAATGGTCAAATGAGGAACTTGATTTTTTTTTTTAAATCAACAACAAAATGGCTCTGTACAAAAAAAGCAAACATATGTACAAAATGCTACAAAGACTACATACATTGTGATAAAATCAGTCCTTTACCACAAGAGAAATGCAATAAAAGCTTTTGCCATCTATAAGGTGCTGAAGAAACCAAATCTGAATTGTTTTGTATAAAGCCATAGTCATTATCATCCTGTGTCTTTTTAATTTCATACACTACTTATGCTTACCTTTGCATAAAGAAATGAATGTGTTCAAATACTTGTTTTATACAGGAAAAAAACCTAAAATGTATCGGTTTTAATACCGGTGCTTTTTTTTGCAGTACTATGTTTCTAAATAAAAAGGTGCAACTCGGGTTTTCTTAAACTATACACATATATGATGCGAAAGAAAATCAATACATGATACTGGTAGATATTTTATGTGAATATTTTTCTCAGGTGGCTATGTTAGAATAAAAACCTTGCACTAATACTGCTTGTTTTTGTTTCTTTAAAATTCATCTGATACATAAAACACCAATCCCTCAAATGTCATGTCCTGTTGCTGAATATTGCAATGTATTTTGATATAGTCATGTAATATCAGACACTAATAGTTTGTTGTTATCAGTCTTTATGTCTCACTGTTATCCACAAACTCAAGATTTCATGCCTCTTGTACTTTATTTTTAACAGAAAAACACTATAGCTTATTTGGAAAAAATTAAATTTTAACCAGTAAAATTGCACCCATCCAACACACTTGCAGTTCTCCCATTTTTAACTACTGCTTGAGATTTTACAGTCACTGTGCATATGTTACAACATATAAGTGCAAGCAAACAATCTATATTATAATTATTATATATCGTAAACCAGTACAATAGGCAAACTTGTGATACGGCAAAGTGAAAGCAACATATTGGCTGCCCAAGCCAAAAAGAATGTGGAAACTCAAACAACTTTTTCTTTAAATAGTAAATAGCAACTCTCTCTTTGTAGCAGGTGGAAGCTGAGAATTACATTTTTCTTTTCTGCAGCATTGTGTGATAGTATCACAAATGCTAAGAACCAGGCAAGACATGTTTTTCCATGGAAATTCACCTGTGTACCTTCCATCAAAGGTTCCTATTCTCATATTTCAAATAGGGAAAAAAAAAGTTTAAAGCAGGAGAAAGTACTCAAATGTTGGAACGATTCCTCTTGTTTCATAAAAGCTTAGTTATTCACACTGTAGTCGTTGCTGTAATACTGCTGGAGCAGTTTGGCAGATGAGCATGGAGGATGATGATGGTGACCTAGATGACTTCAATTTGAGGCTGCAAAGCGAGAAAACAGAAGGCCTGTGTAGCATGTTTTCTAGCAGCTTTATGCAGATGTGTTGCAGAGATGCAGCATAAATAATTGGAAAAAAAAAATTCACAGCCTCTTGACATAATTTCCAGGGAAAGTACCAAAGAATTTGGTTCTTCTTGAGGTTCCTGAAAGTAGAAGTAATAAATGAAAGATGGCAATAACAGTAAGAAATTGCTATGCAAGGGGTAGGGGCAGAGGGACTTTGTTTTATTTTCAATTTATGAGACTTCATGAACGGTGTATGTTTTGCATGAAATAGATATTTTGTTTGCAGTGAACCAACCCAGTATTTGCCATACCATGATGTACTACATTTACAAATCATACCTTGTTACTGAGATTTATTATGGGAAAATCATACATTTATATAGTTTAAATAGTGTATATCCAGGTTATAATTTGTGCTAATCCTAACATGCTAAAATATCAGCTTGATACCTGGCAACAACACAAATGTATTTATTTTAACATTTTGAATTGTAATGAAATAATCTGGCCAAAATGTTGATGTCAAACCCTTCAGTTTCTGTATAACTTAGGACTAGCAGGAGAATTGTTTATTATATAAGTAAGGAAAATAAGATACATTGGAATGATCAAGCCACCTTTTTTTAGGTTCATATCTATTACACTTGCTCACACCGAATAATAATCATTCACCCAAGTGGTCCTTTTGAAGTCCATGGGATACTTATATGAGCAAATTTAAAGCTATCTGGGTAAAGGTTATATTGGCAGATACTACGATAGAGTTAGTGTTGTATCATGGTAGCATAAGGACAACTCTTTTCTTAGTAATCTGGAGGTAATGGATAATAAATTTATAGTGAAATGTTTTTGGAGCAACATGTGTACCTCCAATGCTCAGGAAGTCAATGGAGAGCCACTTTTAAATTTTAATGGACTTTGTTGTAGGCCTCCAGAAACTATGCAGTCATCTAAATGTAAGCAAATGGCAGTAAATGTTTCTGAAATAACACCCCCCAAAAAGCAACCAAATTAAAACATACCCACAAACCATCCATCATCACACTTTTCCATCACATCAATGATATCTCCCTCTCTGAGCTCCAATTCATCTTCATTCCTAGGAGTATAGTTATACAGAGCCTGAAACCTTAAACAGGACAAAGGCATGTGTTTTTAAAAATACATTTTTTGCATCTGTACTAAATTAAAGGAGCTTAGTAAACATTTAGTTAAATGCTTAAGTAACAATATTGATAATGTAATTGAAAATAATGACTCTCTTGCCCACCTAAGGACTAGGTTTATACTGAAATAGTTTAGGTAAGAGACGACTCATGTGACGTTAAGTAAGGACTAGATTCATAAAAGGGCCTTAGGCATGGCTAAGCTCATCTTAACTTTTAGGTGGATTAAAACCTAGTACAATTCACAGCCCCAAGTTAGGTTCTTTAGCTCTTTACACAATACATGGGTAGAGTTAGGCAGCTAGACAAGGGAATTAACAACTAGCAGTAAATTGAGCAGGTAGCTGCCTAATGCCTATGTTAGTCAAGTAGGAAATGCCAAGGAAAAGGATGCAGATTAAGCCAGGGCTACCAAAGGTAATAAACACCTAACCCGGGTTAGAAAGGGGAGCCTATTATGTGTCTGAGCCACGTCAGTCCTTTCCTGCAAAAGGGTGAGGGAAAAAGCAGTGGAACCTCCTTTTTTTACAAACTACTCAGTGGTTAAACTACTCACTTGGGATATGGAAGAACTAAGTTCCATGCCTTATTCTGCCCAAGGAAATGAGACCCTATATCTTCCCAGTGTCTGCCATAACCACAAAGCTATAGGGTATGTTGGAGTGGGGTTCAGACAACCACTTCTTTTAAAAACTGTTCTACTCTTATATAAAACAAAAAAAATGTCTTGGGACAGAGAGAGAGATTATTGTCTCTACTGTGTTATTGTTAGTGCACTGGTTGGAAATTTAAAGTGCATGTTGGCTTAGGTGGTAGCCAAGTGGAGGTGTTGAAGATCTTGGTGGCACCTAAATTTTGTACATAAGTATTTAAGGGTTAAATTTCCAATGCAGTTTAGGAGTCTAACTTACAATGGAAACTATTGGGCCTGACTGACTCTCAAGTAAGTATCTATATCACTTTTACAAATAAGTATCTATATCACTTTTAAAACTGGAATTAAGCTATTGAATCGTTCATGCAAATCTTTCCCATTTAGCATTTGTTTTTGGCAAACTGACAGACTTTGCAGCAAATGTCGTCTTGGTGGATGGATATGTACATGGGCTGACGGCCTTCAAGTGACTGCTGTTCTAATGCAACAGCAGGGTTTTAGAGTGTTTCTTTAAGGAGAAGAGGAAATGTAAAGAGAGAGTATTTAGGGAAGGAGCTGGTTTTTACGGTGGAAGAAGAAAGGGCAGAAGGCAATGATGAGAAAAAGGGAAAAGGTTCTTTATATAAGTTCCTGTATACAATGTATTGTCTTCACATTACAAGCCCCATCAAGATACTACTAGCCCCTCACTTGCCACGTTGGGACACACCACAGAGCCCAGCCAATAGCTATAGCTGTGAGAGGATTAGCACAAGACCCTGTCCCTTCTGTTTGCGGAGCAGAAACAAGTAGCAGCCACCTTGGCAGCTGCATGATGTGTACAGTGTCTCCAGGAGTGCTCCTTTTCCCGTGAAGAAAATGGTATCCTTGCTTAAAACACGTACTGTAATTTTGGGGGGTTGATTTTTTTTGGGGAAAAGTTGTGTGTTCTATGCAGAACTAGTCTTAAGGGTGGGCAATGTGGGTGACCACCCAAGGCTGTGGCTGGGGGGTGATATGCACGCACACACAAACATGCTTATGCACACGCCCCTGCTCACCTCCCCACCCCAGTCAATGGTGCTGCTGCAGACAGATGCTAGTGGGTAGGATTTTGGGGCACTGTGTGGTGAGGAGGAGGAGCCACCTGCATTGCCCAGCCTGCCCTCCCACCTCCAGCTGCTGTTTAGAAGAAGCCAGGCCAGACAGTATGGGTGGCTCTGTCTTCCTGCCAGACAGTATCCCTGCCCACCTGCCTCTGCCTGCAGCAGTGCTACTGACTTGGGGGAGGGGGGCGGGAGTACTGGGATGTTGGTGCCAAAATATAAGTTTGCCCAGGGTGCCATTTTCTGTAATGCTAGCTCTGGTTGTATATGAGAAAAATATGGTAAATGGAAAGTGACTAGCCACCTGTAGTGCCTTACAGGGACACGGTAAATAGTACAGTGTCTGCAAGTCTATTCTAGCTCTGAGGGAGAGGTTCTAGCCATAGTTTCCTACTGCAACTTTTTAAAATACTTGCGAGTGAATTCAGTGATCAGGAATGTCATGGTTTGAAACAGGGAAAGTGGGTGGGAACCTTGTTAACTTCCACAAGTCTTGCGCTATCTCATTCTGTTGGCAAAGTGTAGTATGGGAAATGAATAAATGGGAAAAGGAATGAGACTGTCAAACTCATTTTCTTTCATTGGCTGTCAGTGTTTAAGTCTAGCTTACTGGAATTGAAAAAAATCATGTACAATTGCAATTAAGACTCAATTGTGCCTGTACAACTCTCTCTACAAAAGCTTGCATGTAACTACACCAGTTCAGTGATATCACAGAAATAGAATCCTTTTCTTCTGTAGTCCCCTCTCATTACAAGGAAGGACCCACACCAGTAGCATATGATTACAGATCTTTGCTGGATGAGTTGAGCTGTGCTGGTCAGCATAATGTGGGTTCTGCACCTTGTATGCTTTGTCTATGTACAGATGGACAGAAAGAGTCATGATTGCCCACATAATTTGCTGATTTGTAAGTGCTGTAGAAAAATTTTGGAGGCTACAAAACAATGTGCGTGTTGGATCAGGTTCTTCCTCATGCCTCATTTATCTTGTAGGTTGGAAGAAATTTTAAGTACTTGGAGACCAAGCTGAGATTTCCTGCAAAGAGTCGCTTCAGGTTACTCAAAATACTGTGTTGTGAGCTTGATCTTTAAAAGCTTTTTAAAAAAAATAGAAGTTCATTTATATATTTAAAAAATGATTTAGAAACCATCAGACCTTTGAATTCTGAAAATTTTGAAATAGAATGCTCATGTTATTGAAATGCTTCCCCCAGTAAGAGTTCACTGAAATTAGTGTAGTTTACTTGGATTGTGATCAAAACAGTATTTTTTTTTCATTAAAAAAAAAATTCAATAAACTAGTTCTGCATAACCTAAGCAAAACTCCTAGTGAAGTCAATGGAAGATGTATCCAAATAAGGCATTGGAAACTGGGGAATTAATTATTTTGCTACTTGGGAATGAATGACTTGGTTTCTGTATTTAAATCAGTGCTAAAACCAACAGAATGTTGAAATAAAGATCTTCTTGAACCAGATAGATTCTGGATGCAGGTAGTAAGTTTTTGCATCACTTTTTCTGTGCGTGCTCTGTCTCGAGCAAGATTTTTTGTTTTTAAGCTCTTCAGATTGTCTATCAGTTGTGGCTCAAAATCTATAAAGCTTCTTACGCTGAAATAATGATGATAAACAAATGCCATGAGCATAACATGAAAATATTCGAGGCGAAAGGAAATATGATCATTAGTTTGGTCAAATCTGCCTTCTTTAACAGGGTTCATTGTAATCTGTGCAGCAGTTAAATGGCACTGCATAGTCCATCATTCATTTCCTTATTTCAGTATGGTAATACTATGCTGATGTTCCAGAAATGATTACATGTAGCTTTCAAAGGTAGAGGGATCATTGATTCAGATCAACTCAAATAATACAAAACTGTTCCTTTTTTACTATTGTTTTATGTGATATGTAATTAAGATAGTGAACGGATATTTTCTAGCTTGTATTTCATGATTACCTAATTTTGCTATTATATGCCATGTTTCTAGCTATGGAAATAATCTGGATAAGAACTTTGAACTCAGAAAAAAGACAATGAAAGGGAAATATGATTCTACTGAAATTCCACCTCCAAAAATATTCTTATTAAAAATAAACATTAAATCCTAGATGATACTAGAAATTTCAAACCAAATGTTTTTACTGCTTGGCTTGCATTCATTTAGGACAAATGTGAACAATAGCATCACTTATAAGATATACAGGAAAAAATTGGCCAGAGAGATTTGGAAAACAGATACAGTTTTAGTGAGGTCAAAATCATTAGTACCTCCAAAAGCCAGTCCTCATTTGCATATAAAGTAACAAGTTTAGATTAAAAAAAAAATCTTGTAATCTTGATGTTGGGTAAAATTTCCTAAAGCACATAAGTGCCAATTTTCAAAACAATTTAAGCCTAGATTTTGAAAAGTGTATTCAAGTGCCCAAGTCCTAAACATATTTAGGATGCTTCATCTACAACTTGTTCCAAACCACAGTAATGTTATAGAAACATTACAGCAGGCTTTGCCTAAGAACCTAATAACAAGATTTAAAAAAAAAAAAGTATTTCAGCATGCTTTTACTTTTGAAAATGGCATACTAAATTATACATATGCTTCTGAAAAATGTCACCCTTTAATTTGTGCATACAGAGTGCTCTGGTACAGTTTAATGTTGCATTCTTGTAGTCTACCTCACTCATTCTCATTCTGTTCTCTCATTATTCTAACTGCAAAGGTTCTCTTGCCAAATCGTTTCCAGAATTGCTTCTAAATATTTTCCCATACATTATTAAGGACCAAAGAAAGTAGACAGGCTGAATCTATTAGTTTTAATAATTGAATTCAATCTGCCTGAGATATCTAAAGGTGATAAAAGTGAAAAATGACTAGGAACTGTTTAAAAAAATAATATCTATCTTAAGTGTAGAACATTAGAGAAATGTAAGTTCTTGTATTTATTCTCATTTTTGAGGTGATACAGCTTAGCTCATTTGTGATTTTGCCATTAGGGAGTTTTCCTGGATATATTCTCACAGAATATGGCTATCTGCACTATCCTTTAATTTGATTAGGTAGATTATTGATTTCTTTCAAAGATATGCTTGCTACCTTTTCTTTAAGTACTAAATCTATGGTTTAGTAGACAAGAAGTATACTTACGGTTCCCCCCCACTGTGTATGTTTTCATGAGTAAACACAGGGCGCTGTGGCTGTAATGAAATGATTTGAAATGTAATAAAGATTTTATAAATGTTATTAAATTAAGCTAGATTGGATACTGGTATGATACATAATCTCTTGACATTTCATATCTGGGGTAGTAAAAAGTTCCTTTTAAAAGGCAAAGAGCAAGCACTAGAATTTGCAAATCTGCAAGTTTAAGAATTAGACTGCTTTGAAGGATATACTGATAATTAAAAGAAGCATTTTAAATGTATCCACAGTCTAATTTTTTCATGTTGAAGCAATAAGTCAGTTGAACCCTTATTGCTTTTACAAATTGTACAAACAGAGCAGGAATGAAGATACCGCAAGACTCAAACACAGCTGATGAATGTTGTACATTCTCTGCCAGAGGTGTGTTCTCAGACAAGCAGAAAAAAACCCCATGCTTAATGGCAGAGTGTCAGCATCCATTATGTTTTCTGCAGGCAAACAATAATTCTATGTACAAAATACACATATAAATTGGCAGGCACACCATGCTATGCTGTGCTCTCAAGGAGGAGCAAACTCATGCAGACTGATAGGAAAAAAACCCACAAAATTTATTTTTAAAGAATGCAACTACTTATGTAAACATAATATTTTACCTTAGAAAGGAAAAATTGGCAGATATTTCAAGTGCAATGACCTCTGAGAAAGTCAGCTTCCTTTTTAATTAACTACTATCAGCTCTCACAATGAGAAACCTTAAGTTTCTAAAGAAGCCACAGCGTGTTTAGAAAACTGTGTTTTATATGTATACCTACCTATCTATAGCACTGGCCAAATGCAGAATAGATGGGACAAAACTGGTCCTGGGAAAAGTAATTGACTTTGGATGCCTGGTTTTCCCTCACTAAAGGGAATAACAGTCCAGGAGAACTGTGGGAATCTTGTCTAGTCTTGGATACCTGAGTATCAAAAGGTAGTTTATGTTATGCTTGTTAACCATTATCAGTTAAAAAAAAGTTGTGGCCTTTCCTTGGTATTTTGGACCTGGAATATTTGTTTAAGCTTGTTTTTGCTTGGTTTGGACCATTTCTGTTCATTTTACTTTAGGTCACTGAGAATCTTCCACTAGTGGCTTGCAGCAATGAAGAATAATAGCATTATGATTGTCATGTCTATTCATTGAACTACACTGGTGAAATTCAAATGACTGGTTCCTCTCTATAAGCCCTTCTGACTTAGGACCTGCTCCTCTCCTTAAATCCCAAAATGACAGTTGAAATCCTTCTTAAAATTTTCATGAACCCCACTATAATATGAGGTTTTTATGGCACATCATGCTGGTTTTATTGTGTTTGTTAATTGATGTGGCATATGTAGTCTTGCTGAAAAGGCAATGTTATGCTGTATTAATCTACGTTGCTTTTATCACTGTATGGGTTAAATTATTCTGCCTGTACATACTTTTATAATTTTGGACATGGTTTAGTCAAAGGAACTGAGGGATGCATACTTAAGAAAGTAGGTGAAACTGCTAAATATCTCTTGCCATTGCGTTAATAGGACAAAAATAATTTTTGCTCCAAAACACAGGATGGGCACCCAAGACATTGCAGGTAATTGTGTGGTTAGCTGTGTAATACTTGTAACGCTATAGAAGGGGCATAGGAGATGCTCAGGGTCTTTCGATTATCTCAGGCTTTGGGACAGTCCAGGTCCCCAGCAGTCAGGATTAGCAGGATCAGCAGGAAGGATGATCTCTGGAAATACTGACAGGACTCTGAGGGGCTAGGTTGTAGCCAGATGAGAGGATAAGAATCTTATTTGTCTCTTTGTTCTGTCTTCAAATGATGCGGTCAGTTTCACGTATAAAATATGTGAGTAATGAAACTGTAGTCTAACGTTCTTGCAAACTACTTAAATGCACACGTTTATTAAATAATATTCTGTCTAAATGGTGTGATTATTCAAGAGGCCAACAACATTTGACTGCTTTATGGGGGCTATCTTTTAATGAAATGCAACAGAACAGCATACCATATGTTTAAAGATATTTTGAGAATCGAAGTTGCCAGGTTAGAGTGATTTCTTGTTCAGTTTTCACCAAATTACACACACAAGAGCTTTATTTTACTTGTCTCCACAGAACTGCTGGCTCTCAAAAGCACAGACAGCAAAGACTAAAGCTCTAGGAGAGAGCATCTTTTTGGTGACCTAGTAGATAGGGTCGCATCTTCTCTAATAATCAAGGATCCTGGCTTTCTCTGATTTAAAAAAATCCCCAATTTTCAGCATTTACAAGCATTTACCTGTATATACTGATATCTGCCCATTTAAAAATAGTAGGAAAAGAAATATTTTAATATTCTTTTGCAGAACTTTCTTCAAGTCATGTCAAAATATTAAGAATGAACCCATAATTAGTTTCAAAATATGAATAGTCCTTTGGTTGCATGTATACTTTATAACTGATCTGCCATATTGGGAGATCTAGGTTAGATCGTCTCCCAACCTTGGGAGACCAAGGTTTCTATCCACATAGTTCTTTAGAAGAGACTTTCTTTTCTGAAAGTCCTGTCTCTATCTTGGATTGATTAAAAAGCAATTCCCTCCTTGCTTGCCTTTTCGCATACTCTGACCCATTTTTAAAGCCTAATCTCCACAGTTCCCTTTGTTCTATCTGGATAGGACGGGACAAAAATAGAGCCAGATGCAGGGTTTTGGAGGGAACAGTTTCATGGCACAATGCAAATTACGCCTGCAATATTGTGGCAACACAGTTCCACTGGATCCAAGGCATGAATTCAATGAAACTCTGCCTGAATTCCTGGCAGACAGTCAATGCTTCCAGGGGTCCCTGTCTTGAGGTAATGCAATTGTGGGTCTACCTCAGAGCTGGGGACTCTGGAAGCTGTAAGTCTCCATATCTGGTGGTTAGGGCATTTTTTTTTTTGAGGCATAGGTGATAAGTTTTTGCATCTCCTTCAGCTATAAAGGGCCTATAACCTAGGTCTCCCACTTCTCGGGCAACTTTGTTAACTGCTAGGCTGTTCTGCATATACTGTGTCCTTTCCATGCCCAAGAGTGACTGGAGAATGCTGTGCTGAATTGACATTGAATTCAATGCTACTGTCAGGTAGGTGCTTCCCAGCAGAGTGAGCATTATGCACCCCCAAGTCGGAGGCCCAAGCTCTGAGGAAGAATTGAAGTTCATAGACAGCTCTGTGGCCAACCGTTTCCTATTGGCTGGATTGCCTCCCTACTTATTACACTAACGGTGGAAATGCAAATCATAAAATAAAACATTATCTGATCTCTGTTAACTCCCCAAATCTTGCTCAGCCCTCAGAAATGGAAACAGGAGATTTTCCTGGGTAGACTGCTTACTAATTTGGGTTGTACCCAACGTTGTTCAGGACCTGCACTCTGCCAATTCTCCCTCAGATTTTTGACTGTGATTTAAAAACCAATGCTGGGCCCCAACTCTTCTTTTTGAACCTCTCCTAAGGGTTATCTTGTAACAACCTTACAAATGGCTGAAATGAGGTATCATTTGTTTTGCAGCATGTATAATGCTAATTTTAAATGGTAAAACTTATTAGAAGTAATTTATGCTTAAAAAATTGGCAATTCCTCAACGCAAAAGGTAGAAACAACTAGTGAAATGTCAAAATGCCACTTTGAGTTGGATAAGGATTTTTAACTCCATTTTGTACCTGGAAAAGCACAAAACAAGACAAGCTCAAGCACATGCCAGGCAGCATTAGAGTTGGATCCTAGGAGACCTGGTGTGACTGGAACTTGTAGACATTTAATGTTCCTAACTTCCAGTCCATGGCTTCATTAACAGGACTATGCTGCCTCCCAGTAAGAAAACCTTTGTTTCAAAACTACAGAGTCCCAGGTACACATACAAAAATGTTCAAAACCACACACCTAATTTATATGTATAGTTATTGCTGTTATGTTTAAATTGGGAGTGTTTATGCTTGGGAATTTAGCATGCTAATTGGGTGCACGATTGTGCTTGCATGATTTTGGAAATTAGAATGGAAGTCCACACCAAGCTGTGTGTAGCATCTTTTTTAAGTTGCATATTATCACGCGGTGCAACACAGGAATTAACTCTGCTAAAATGGGAGTAGGAGGTATACTTTAATCTGTTTCTCAACAAGCAATAGTAGAGGCTCCCTACTACTCAGTTTCTGGGCTGCCTGTGTTTTAAGCATCTCCATTCAACGACAAAGGAAGTGACAACTCTGGGACTTGCTACTTCAGTGGGAAGCAGGAAGTCCAGCAGTGACACATTACCCATCAGAAAAACCTGAATGTCTTTAGCAAAGAACACAAAAACCCCACCATCTGAAAGAGAGACCAACATAAAATCAAGCCCCCCTCTGCAAATCTATCCTGCAAACAATGCTAAGTGATCTCAGACAAAGCATATCAAAGGCCAAGATACAGTAAAATATTTGGTCTTAACAAAAACATATAACCTACAAACTGTGCTTTAATTTAATTTAGAATGGTCTCTTGATTGACAGCACCTAATATGAGCCAAGCTCTAAATAATTTGACCTTTAGGTTAAACCAAATAAATGCAATTATGGATGGTTATGAAGAGGAAGGCTGAAGAGAATGACAGTTTAGAATAGCTGCATTTGGAGAAAGCATTGTTTCAAGTTAGTGCACACCATATTACTATAGCAACAAAATATTTTGAAAAGAACAGCAACAAAATATTTTGAAAAGAGCATGCATTAAAGAGAAAAAAACCAAAGCACTAGAACTTGGCATTACAAAAGCTACAGTAAATGCAATGAATTCTAGAGTTTTGGCTACTAGAAAGTATCATTTCAATAAACTAGAAAATGCTTTGAAACAAGAGGAGCCATTTAGAAACTGAAAACCAGGCTGAATTTCATAAAGAACTTTGTCATTTTTGACACTTTTTATAACACCGGAAACACTGCAGAGAAAGAAACACCAACAGAGTGATAACAAAATATTGCACACGCAGACCTCCATACTGGTTTTGCTCAAACACTTCTGAAAT